ATTAATTAGTGTAGGTTACTTGATTAAATTGTTAAAATGATTCAAAAATTAATAACTAAAAAATATGTGTTCACCCAACTTTCTACCCTATTATTTTGGACGAAATTCGAGTAGGAATAGTACACTTAATCAGGTTGGGTAGGCTAAGAAAAAATTCTTCCGCAAAGTATTGGGTAAGAAGATGGAATACTATAATTTCTACCTATAGGGCAGGGTGAACACCCCTACTAACTAGGATGGCCCGAGGACGAAAGTGGCTTGTAGCTTATCATTGTGGACGAATTGATAAAGACGAGCCACTGCCTCCTCCGCATTGTCCCACATGGACTAGGAAGTAGCTGCGAAGCTCGATAGAAGGGACAACATAGCACAGATATTTTCCTTTGCAACTCCCAAGGCCTTACCTTTTCCTTTCATAGTTGGAGGAGCAAGGGAAAATTTTATAGGGGGAGACAGTTTGACCTTTCCCGAGCTAAAAGTAGGGGAGGTGCCACCTCCATAAGTGACATCATTAGATGGGGAGGAAGTTAGAAAAGTACTAAAGATTGAGGACACCCTTTTTCCTTGAGAAAAGGACATTCTTGGCCTCTTGCAAGAAAGGGGGTTGGTTTCAAATGCCCTCCTAGCTGCAACTACCTGGAGGGACTTTTGGTCAATGATCTTTAGGGTCATAGCTGAAGAATTGCAAAGGTTAGAGCATGTCAAGAATTGTGAGCAATAGGCATAAAGGTTTATACTTTTTTGACGAGATGATACTAAAGGCAAAGCCACAGGACCACTTGAGGAGTAGCTTGTCAGTAAGGTTAGACCTTTTCTCTTTTAAAAGTAAAACTACCTCAACTATTGACCAGAACAAAGGGTGAGATTGTAGCATTGCATTAGCTCGACAAAAGTAGGCTAAACACCAACCCTATTTGCCCTAGCCTAGATAATGCCCAACCTATATGCTCCAAAGCGAAAAGTCGTGTCAAAATAAGAATAAAAGAGAAGATTAGGACAAAGAGGCAAAAGCATATTAGAATTCTAGAGGCTCTCGATGCCTCGCCAGAAAAGAAGGGGAAAGGCTCATATAAGCTGGGACCACAACGGCTCTTTAGCAATTGAGTGCGCAAAGCAAATGTAATGAACAAGTGTAATCAATGCGTAACATACGCATTCTAGTAGTCTAAGCTAGAGGCCAGCTAATGGATATGAATTTAGCTTTAAAGAAAAGCACGTGCACGCCCAAGGCACATGAGGAAAACTATTACAAGGCAGGCACAAGAGCCATGGGGTCCATTAGGGGTGTTCAAATTTTTGATTGGCCGCAATTTGCTACCCTACTGATCGCCTAGCCACAAAAATCGAATAGGAATGCATAAGAGTTTTTGGTCTTCCGATTAAATTGGGTAGGAATGCGGAATACTATCAATTTCCATATTCTTACCCTACCCTACCCACAAAAAATATATTGTTATTGTTGTGGATGTTTGAGTTGTGAAAACATGGACTTGTTTTTTGTGTAGGTTATATGATTTGTGGTGAACTGGTAATCTATTGGAGCAGTTATGATTTTAATGTGTTTCATATGGTTTAAACTTAAAATAATTGTTGTTGTATTTGTGTAACAATTATGATGTATTGATATTCATACTTTCTTATATTTTATTATAATTGTTGTTATAGTTGTTTTAGGTTTTAATATTATTAATTTATTGTGTTGTTAAATTGGTGCATGTTATTTAATTGAATTGTTAAAATAATCCAAAAATTAATATTTACAAAAGTGTTTTCCCGACTTCCTACCCGATTAGTCGGGTAGGAATACCACACCTGATCGGGTGGGGTAGGCCAAAAAAAAATTCTTCTGCAAAGTATCGGGTAAGAAGACGAAAGACTATATTTCCTACCTGTAGAGTAGGGTGAACACCCCTAGGGTAGGGTGAACGCCCTTAGGGTCCACAATATGGTGAGATACATCTCCTAAGTGCATCATCAATTCGCTCTCATACCAACTCTAGTTGTTGAAGAGGAGTTCCACTTTATAGGATGCCTTATTTGAAGAGTAGCTAAAGGAGCTTCATCGGTGAAGGAGGCTGGAAGCCTATAAAGGAAACGGACAAGTTAGGAACTAAGTAAGTAATTCCTCTCAGCTCAATTCTAATCTATCATTTTTGCATTTATTGACTTAATCATCAGAGAGTAGATCCCCAAAAATCCTCTGATCCTGGACTTCTTTGCACGAGCCCACTAGAGATCGCCAGATCATCAAACAATCTATTGGTGCTGCTTTTGAGATTAACAACTGTTATTCCTTACAACAACCCCCACGCCTGAGCAGCCACAAGAGGTAAAAACAGACCCGTCAAAATTAATTTTACATAAACTATTTGGTAGAGCCTTCCACGAAGTACTTTGCGGTAGGTTCGTCTGAACATGAAGGGTTGGACCATTGATTTGATTAGACAGAAACTGCTGGAGATATTCTTTTGAAAACTCAACAACCTGCAGTGGAGTTCTTGAATGTTCCTTTACCCTTACTGTGTTCCTGTTGAACCAAACAGCCCATGCTATAGTAACAACCGACACTATTTGTTCATGTTAAAATTTTCTGAGATGAACCCAATCCACTCCTGAACACTTGAGACCCTGTTTGCTAGAAAGTGCAACCCAGCAATTTCCCAAATAGCAAAGGCAAAGGTACATCTCAGAAACAAATGAAAAGGAGACTCATAATGATCCCCACACATAAAGCATTCATTAATAGTATGGATTTTCCTTATTTGTAAATTACACAGACTGGGTAGGATATCAATAAAAAAGCCTCCAAGCAAAATTCTAAATTTTATTGGGCACCTTTAAAGACCAAATAAAAAATGGCCATCTATCAGCAACTGAGCTTGTGGATTCGGAATTATGTTGGGCACCCGCCAACTTCTGTTCAATAGCTAAATGATATGCATTACGGACCGAAAAATATTCAAATTTGGTGTAAAACTACATAAGACGATCTTCCGAAAATTGTGCGTAAATTGGGAGAGCCAAAATATCCAATCACAAACTCCAAAAAGTACTGTATTTTCTATATCAATACTTAGTCGACGGTTGATGCATACTTACTAGAAGAAATGTACCGATTGCAATCAAAAAATAAAAGAAAAAACTATATTCCAAAATGGTCATCTTTGAGGCAAAATAAATATGCTTCCTCTTCCATTAGGAAAAACTAGAGCTACCTTTAATAATCTTTCTTTAAAGTGTATTTTGGCTTTTATTTAGTTTTTAAAGATATCTTGGTTTCGTGTTTTTGCTTTTCTATATTTTTTTAATCTTATTTGTTCTCTTCTTAATATTTCATATCTATCTAATATTAGAGTTAGGAAGTTGAATTTCTAACTTATAAAAGCACAACAACGGTCAAGATTGATCCAATCTTCATCTATTTTGACTCAATAATATAAAATTCATCCTAAAAAAAATTTTCCTGCTCAAAAAATTAATTTCTTTGCACGACCCCAAATACCAAACATCAACAGACTCTCTCAATGTTAAACAATCTCATAATCCACATCTACCTCTCGCTTCATAGTAATTTTAAATTGTATAGTTAAAAAACTAAATTATTATTTAAAATATAAATAATACAAAATCAACTCGATTTTAGATATTCTATAGTGTCTTCAGACACGGGATTATTGTTAATACACATATATCACTGTAATATTTATATACTAATATGTGTGTGTGTGTGTGTGTGTGTCTTTTATTCAATAGTAATCAAATGTGCACAGTATAGCTTTTGAACAAAAAAAAATTGCGCCATCTTGTTGGTGAGACCATTGCACCTTTAGCCATATAAATGAGAAATATGGTCAAAACCGTGTTGCCCAACCGACACAGTAAGCCGGTCTATGTGTACTTACCAAAATAGACCGGTCATTACACTGGACTGGAAAGTTAAAGTGGATTATGATTAAGCCAACTAATTGTGGGTTAAAATATCAGTTCTTTGACCATGGTGGATTTGTACGGGTGCTTAAAGAGTTACTATCCGACATGTTCTGAGGTCAAATCTCACCAGTTGTGATAAAATGTGGCCCAAAACAACCACAAGACGAGATTCGTGAGGTCAGAATTTGGAAACCTCATGAGCCAGATAAATGAGGCTTCCGAGTTCAAGCGATGAGTTGGCCAAATCTTGATTGTCTGATTCTCATGATGCAGGTGTTTTGCGCCAGAGTTGATAGTGGGTGTTTTCGGCCCAAATTCAGACAACCCAAAAATACATGTATGTGGTTGTCTCTCAGTGAACCTTGAGTGCACTGGTCTGCTTCAAATATTCTGGATTGATGTGCTGTAGGTTATTACATAGATGGAAGGTAATGTTTACTTGACACTGTTTGCCTTCACTGCACAAACCGCTGATGATTTATCATAGCAGCAAAATATTTTTGGCATAATTTACGTCTACATCCAATAAGCAAACTCTGCAGCATCCAAACCGTTAAAAAAATTTCCTCCACCACTGCCATGTATTTATATACATGGCTGAAGTGAGGAATTATGCTACAAAACTACGAAAAAAGAAATCCAATTTGAGGGGAAAAAAAATGACAGATAGGTTCAGAGTACGTTCTTTGTGATGTTCCGTNCCGTTAAAAAAATTTCCTCCACCACTGCCATGTATTTATATACATGGCTGAAGTGAAGAATTATGCTACAAAACTACGAAAAAAGAAATCCAATTTGAGGAAAAAAAAATGACAGATAGGTTCAGAGTACGTTCTTTGTGATGTTCCATTCACACAGCAATTCTGATCAATGCCACTTCATTAAAATTTATCATTTCATTCCAATTTCACTGTTCACCATGTTTTACCACATGTTTCTAAAAAGAACCGCAACAAAAAATAGGTTCTCATTGCTACCTACAACAGGAATTGTGGTTACTTACTCACTTGAAGGATAAACGAACAAGCTCTAATATCCACCCGCATTCAAAAATTACANGATCAATGCCACTTCATTAAAATTTATCATTTCATTCCAATTTCACTGTTCACCATGTTTTACCACATGTTTCTAAAAAGAACCGCAACAAAAAATAGGTTCTCATTGCTACCTACAACAGGAATTGTGGTTACTTACTCACTCGAAGGTAAAGGAACAAGCTCTAATATCCACCCGCATTCAAAAATTAAATAAGCTTACATGAAATGTATGTATAGACTATCTAAGGAGAATCTCATCATTTTTCTCACCTTGAGATGCAGCAGATTCCTTCACAGCTTCATCCTGTGGCAATGTGGAATCAGAATATTCTAACCCCAGCAATGAAACTCCATTCGAATCATCTTCTGTGTCACCAATGTTTTTATGCATCTCATTACTTGAGTCTGCTTCTTGGTTGACTTCGGATTCGTTCACAGTTTCGGCATGATGTGACTCAACTGCTGGGGTAACTCCAGGTTCCTCCACTGTTTCAGCATGATGTTGAGTTTGGCTTTGTGATATGGACCGGGCAGGAGATGGAGTTGCAACACCCAATCCTTTAGAAATACAAATGTACTTGAAGGCAAGTTGCTTGTAGTAATTTAGCAGGTCTTCTACATCACTAATTGTCAGATCACCAGTTTGGGAATACAAATATGGGAAATCTTGAAACACTTGATTCACCTTATCTTCATTCATAAGTATAGTTGCCCCTCTATTCTCCAGATCTGAGATTGACAGAATTTTGTTTATTGATGTTTGATCTTTCGCATATTGCTCCTCATTCCCAGGTTTAGTTCCAGATGATTCGGGTGAGAACTGAGGCTGCATTGCTGGGACCTGATGTTTCTTAGAGTTCAAAGCTTGTTGTTTGGGTATAGTAGGTTCCATTCTAGGAACATGTTCAACATTCTGATAACTTTGAGTGGGCAAATCATCCGATTCTGCTGAAAGGCCAGAAAGAAGTGCTCGAGCAGATTCCATATTTTTCTCGAACTCAATATCATCCATTGAAAGAGCTTTTGCATCAATGTTCAAGATGAAGGACTCTGCGGAGAGCATGTTTGTGAAAAAATATGCTGCTTCTGCGACTAAGCGAGATTGACGCCTGTAACGTTGTATATACAACAGATTCAAATGGAGTTGCGGTGGGCTTGCCTGTATGAAATAATCACGCAAAGCCATTCTGAGATTTTGAGATTAGAAATGACCAAATAAGAAGAAATTGAAAAAAAAAACAAACAAACAAACAAATCGTTGCACCTGTCAGCGGCAGATGCAATATCTCCCATTTTTTTTTTTTCAGAAGATATTCCAGCTGAATCCACCAAATTCTTACAGACTTAGTTAACACATTAACCCATATGGCAACATATGTATTATCATAAGATTAGCTTATTGTTACAAGCATACCTGGTAAAACTTCTTTTTCCCCTTCAGTAAACTATTTTATGTTCCAGCTTTTCAGTAAGAAACATGTCCAGTAGTAACAAATATTACCAAAAGCAAGTTCAAATAAAAAAATTCCTCGACCATTGCTTTACTATCAATGTTACAGTTGACACATCATGGTTTATGCAAGTACTGGTGCAAAGACTCGTGTCTTGTCCATTACTGCACATACCTTACGATATGGAACCATTTCCGTGGTTAACGATCTTAGTAAATACATTTTTGTTAAAGAGATGCGAATCTGTACTAAGAATACGGCATGCAAATTACCTTTATTGTTACATAAATCAGAACAGGAAGAAATTCATCAGCTCCCGGAGGGTTCTGATTCGAAGCAACGGAAGCATTGAGCAGTAGATTATTTATGACCTTGCAACAATTGAGAATACAGACAAGTTTGTCTCTTGGCGCCTTGTACATATTAATCTTCTGTAGCTCTTTCTGTGCAAGCTGCCAAAATGAAAGCATGAATGCAAAAATGAGACTTCTCGTTGCTCCTTATATCATTCAGATCATTATTACAAAAGGCAGCCAAAAATGGCAAGTCTTTAAGAAACTAAAAGAGATGTTTTAGCTACTACTGATATTTTCTTTTATTTTGTTTTATACTATTTAATTTGTTTTAGCTGCCAAAATGAAAGTATGAATGCAATCATAATCACATATGATTCTCGTAGGGAATGCTGGTTTAGCATCCTCCAATAACTTTTGCTGATAGAACATATATTATAAACAAATATTCGACCATCCAATTGAGTCCAAAATAACAGGATGCTCTTCACAAGTTTATTAAAAAAAGAAGACACAGATGGCCTCATGTACCATAGGTTTGAAGGAACCAAATTTCTAGCATATGCAGGGGAGAATATAACGAAAACACTGGTTCAGTGCTCAAACCTCTGTGGAAAGAGGGACCCTGTAGATCATAGCTCCACAGTTTTTCCGAATCATACATGAAAAATGTATCTGTCTCTAACTGAGTTTGGTGAATCTTAATGGGTTGGAAGATCCACCGAAGTATGTAGCCTTAACTGATGTGTCGTGCCAACCAACTCTCCTTTCTATGAACAAATTTGTTGAACTATATATACTCAAGTTACACCTTCTCCAACAGTTTAAATTTTTGTAGTAGATAGTTGTTTAACATGATATCAAAAAAGGAGGATTTGTGTCCGAATATCGGCATCACCCTAATTATTAAAAAGATTTCCATGTGTTAGATCCAAAATTTAGCCCATAAGTGAGGGGACGTGTTGAAATATGAATACTTAAGTTACACTCTCTCGAACAGCTTAAACATATGTCAGAGTGTTATGGAAGGTACTCAAACAGGCAGGATTCTGGTACATAAACACCAATATCTGTCATACTAGCACGCGGCCACAAACATTTCCATATCAATTAGTAGAGTAAGATGCAGTGCATAAGTACCATAACATCTCCTCTCTATGGGGTGGCTTTTTTTGCTTGCTGGGGATCTAGCAAATCATCTCAGAAAAAAAGGGTAACAATACAGCATTGAATAGTAATAGGTTTCATGAAATCACATCACATATAATACAACATTGCAAACAAAGTTACAAAATACAAGATTGCACCGACTCTTCATGCCAAAAGATTTCTTTTTACCCACATCATTAGTTGTTGAGAAAGAAGGTCATCATGTCAGAAAAGTGATAATAATTTTTCTCAAGGTAATCTAGCTAGTTCCTCTTCATTTCCCTTTAGTTTTGTAAAGGTAATAGAATGGTATGCCCAGCTAGATATTGAAATGAGTGGTGCAAACATTTCAATAACTCATGCTCAGTGGACTGCGTATTACTTACACACTAGACAAAAAAGCTAGTATCACTTGTCATTTGGTAATGTCTCCAAAAAATATAATCTTTCCGTCCAAAGATCAAAATTTCGTTTCAGTGCATTATTTCAGTCACATAGAAAACAGAAATGTTTCAAAAATATAATAAAAAAAGAAAGAAAATTTTGGGATATATTTCCAAAAGGACCAAAACATTCTGAATCATTAGCCGAAATATACTGAAATATCTTGAAACAACTCAAAACATTTTAAAAAATTAGTGGAAACATGTTGAAACATCTCAAAACACCTTAAAATATTGGATTTTCAATTCAATCACTGATTTATTTCGGTCTTCTTAGAAACACAAACTTTTTAGTCATTTCGATTGTTTCGAAATGGAACTTTGATCCTTGTTTCCAACAAAGTGTTTCAAATCCTAAAGTGGTACTAATGTCAATCCATAAGATTTTTAATGTTTTCAGGTGTCAACAGTATTTCTATGTTTCAGAATGCCTCGCAATAGGGGCCCACGAGTCTTATTTTGATTCTTGTTATCTGCCTGGGTGACATTAGTTGGTTTAGTTGAGTTTGATAGTCAAATGTTTACGTTCTTGAATTGTAGTGGTAGTCTTTGGCACAATATTGTGGTTAGGCCAGTCAATGGAGCGGATTTTAATCCAAACCCGAGTCCATTTGACTAGATATGGTTTAATATTTTAATACTAATAATTGTCCGTGCCTAAAGGCAGGGTATTACGTGTAAATTAATTACAAATATTTGCACATACATAAATGTAAAGTAAACTACAACATTGTAGTAAACGCCGAACAAAATGAGTCCGCTAATATTTTTTATAACATCAACCTGCATGCATAGCATATATTTTCACATTAAATTGTTACGCCACGAAAATTTTGTTATAACTATTGAAACATAATAATTCATACATCTGAAAAAATATATCAGTTGACAATATTTAATTTTTATTTTTGATTCAATATCCACGATTTTAACATTCATAATCACCTTTATCTAAATAATAACAGAATTCATAACTAATAGAATGAAAATTAAAACAATAATCCCACAAATAAACTAAATCTACAGATGTTGTCAAATGACCAAATATAACTATCAAAAATTCAACGGACTTCCAAAATATACGACTTGACTATTGAATTTGTATNGGATTTGGATTTGGATACAAGTAAATCCAATTCAGTATATATGTATACATACATATATACATATTTAATTGAGAGAAATTATTGTATATGCATAACATACTTAGATTATTAATGAGATCGACATAAAATTAAACATAAATTATTGAATAGAATGATTGGTTAATTAAATTAGGTTGAAAGTTAACGTAAATTTGAAAAAGTTATTAATTTATCATGAAATTTTGTTGGGATTCAAATTTTCAGATCGGATCGGGTAATCGGATCAGATATCCGATTATTAAAGAATACGGATATAGATAAGTTTTTTAAATCCGTCTTAAGATTTTGAAATCTGTCGGGTAAACAGATCAGATTCGATTTTGGACAGATCAAGATCTGATCCGTTGATAGCCATAACTGTGGTTGCCCCATTGTGACCTATGCACCACAAGTTCCAAGGTATAAAATGTCTCTCCAAAAACAGGGTTGGAGCTACAAACATCTAACTCTCTTGAGACCCCTCGGTGGCAAAAGTCTCGTGCCGTGCAATCTTTTAGTCCTCATAGGATTATGAGATCTTTTGGAGCATGTATAAACATATAATCCTTCATACCAAATACAGATCAGCTTTAGAAAAAAATTACAAAGTTTGCAATCTCTTTAGTTTGCAATCCTAACCTTACGGGATGCCTGGGGGATTCAAAGAGTGATACGTAGTTTTATTCCTCTCAATTTTCTACATCTGGATACCAACAAACACACCCAATTAAGCTCTTTTTAATCCCAACAGACCCCAACCAACAAGTCCTGCCCTTACCTTTTAACTTTAAAACTATCAATAAAACTCCTAATTAACCTTGGATCATTTTTAAGGCTAAACAAATAAAATGTTTGTATTAAATCTACGAGAAGTTGCATCAAGTTCTCTAGAACAAAAATAAAAAAATTGCAGGAAAATATGATGCCCAATCTGCAAGTTGGTCTGACACATACAATTAGTTGAAGCTTAAAACAAAGGTTGTGGGCTCCATGACAATAAAGGCTTTTTCAGGATCCAATTGCAAAAGTCCATAATAGGTAGAAGAGTTTTTATTATGATGTCTNTTTTTTTTATTGATTATGGAAAAAATAAAATTGACTATTGAATTTGTATGACTCGAGTTTATAGTAATGCTTTTAATTTTATATCATTTTTCTGAATTATTTATATTCTTAGTATATTTTCTTAAATTAAACATTATTTAATATTGGATTATTTAGTAAAGATTGTTGTTCACTAAATATTGAATTTGTATGATTCGTGTTCATAGTATTTGTTATAATTTTCTATCGTTTCTCTCACTTATAATTTTGTATCATTTTTTTCGAGTATTTAGATTTGAGTTATTTAATAAATATTGTAACTTTGTGTTGTTCACTAAATATTAAATTTATATGATTCGTGTTTGTATATGAATTTAATCTTGTATATTTTAAATGTTAAGCATATTATCTTTAATATATCTCTTGATATCTGAGTTACCCAATACATTGAATTTAATATTGTATATTTTACATGTTAAACATATTTTCTTTGTTAAATTAGATTTTTTGCAAGTTATGTATTTTTTTTTATTAATTACGGAAAAAACAAAATTGACTATTGAATTTGTATGATTCGTGTTTGTAGTATTGCTTGAATGAAAGAGAGAGATATATATGAATATTTTCATGATATATACTATCTATCTAATATATATTATATAATTTTCCTTCAAAGATAGATACAGAGGAATATTTTCGTAATATACTATCTCTCTGTGATATATACTATCTATCTACAAAGAGGTGCAATATTTACTTGAATCAGACACTATCTAATATTTTTGTGAGATACAGAAGAAAATATTGTGAAAAATTAAAACTTTTTGTGTGAATTGAGCGTGAGAGAGAGAGATTTGCGTGATTTAATGAAAAGATTTAGGGGAATTAAATTTTGGAATATCAGTTTTGGAAACTACAAATTCTGAGCAACAAAAATATTTCAAAAGAGTTAATTTGGTATGTTAAATTAAAACGATCTGAGACGTCAATAGCCCGAGACAATTTGGGATAACGTCCGTTAGATGATGCTTTTTTTGGTCATGAAACGATCTAAACCACTTTTTGTCTCCAAAATTCAAATTTGTTCTAGTTTATTATATTGATATTTACCTGAAGCCGATTAAGTTTCTTTAAATGGATTTGGATTTGGATACAAGTAAATCCAATTCAGTATATATGTATACATACATATATACATATTTAATTGAGAGAAATTATTGTATATGCATAACATACTTAGATTATTAATGAGATCGACATAAAATTAAACATAAATTATTGAATAGAATGATTGGTTAATTAAATTAGGTTGAAAGTTAACGTAAATTTGAAAAAGTTATTAATTTATCATGAAATTTTGTTGGGATTCAAATTTTCAGATCGGATCGGGTAATCGGATCAGATATCCGATTATTAAAGAATACGGATATAGATAAGTTTTTTAAATCCGTCTTAAGATTTTGAAATCTGTCGGGTAAACAGATCAGATTCGATTTTGGACAGATCAAGATCTGATCCGTTGATAGCCATAACTGTGGTTGCCCCATTGTGACCTATGCACCACAAGTTCCAAGGTATAAAATGTCTCTCCAAAAACAGGGTTGGAGCTACAAACATCTAACTCTCTTGAGACCCCTCGGTGGCAAAAGTCTCGTGCCGTGCAATCTTTTAGTCCTCATAGGATTATGAGATCTTTTGGAGCATGTATAAACATATAATCCTTCATACCAAATACAGATCAGCTTTAGAAAAAAATTACAAAGTTTGCAATCTCTTTAGTTTGCAATCCTAACCTTACGGGATGCCTGGGGGATTCAAAGAGTGATACGTAGTTTTATTCCTCTCAATTTTCTACATCTGGATACCAACAAACACACCCAATTAAGCTCTTTTTAATCCCAACAGACCCCAACCAACAAGTCCTGCCCTTACCTTTTAACTTTAAAACTATCAATAAAACTCCTAATTAACCTTGGATCATTTTTAAGGCTAAACAAATAAAATGTTTGTATTAAATCTACGAGAAGTTGCATCAAGTTCTCTAGAACAAAAATAAAAAAATTGCAGGAAAATACGATGCCCAATCTGCAAGTTGGTCTGACACATACAATTAGTTGAAGCTTAAAACAAAGGTTGTGGGCTCCATGACAATAAAGGCTTTTTCAGGATCCAATTGCAAAAGTCCATAATAGGTAGAAGAGTTTTTATTGTGATGTCTACTAAATTGGTTAATATTCTACTGAGTTTTAAGAGTCATGGGTACTCCCATCACTTTAAGATTTGTAAGGACGGATTGTACTTGGTCTTAAATTAGGTCCTAAAATGAAATTCAGTCCTGAAATTTATAAAGAAATGTTATTAGATCCCGATTACTCTGGACTAAAAATGTAAAGGTTCAGTGAGGAGTCCTCGTCCTAACTCCAGATGGTTGTATAACTGCTGCCTATACATTTAAACACAATCGGTTTATTTCAATGCAGTGGGCTTATCAGAATTCAAGCTTAAATGATTTGTAAGCTAACCAAACTATAAGGTTTAGTCCTAAGGAGTACTGATTTAGATTCATTGTACTAGGAAAAAAGGCTAGATTCCCGGGTTGTTTTTGGAGTTAACATTCACAGCCTTGAAGCAACCCCTATTCATATCCTAGACCTTACTGCACCATGAAATTGACCACCCTAACCCATTCATCTATCCTAAAATATTTGTTGTCCGGTAATTGAAGCATATTTCTCTTGAAATCAATCCAAGTCCAATAAAATGGTGGTCAAATGCACGAGGCTCCTGTTATTTTGAGGTCTGGGTAGGAACAGATGTACATAGTCATACTCTCGCATGTGAAGAGGTTGTTTATGCAACATGAAGCCTTGATGCCCTGTTTAAAATGGATCAACCTTACTGTTGCGCCAAGGTCCACGCTCTTGAAATCAAACTAAGTCTAGAGCTCCTAAAGTGATGTACCCTATAACACTTTGTAGCTTGTAATCCTGATCCTCCAAGCCAAACACTATCAAAATCAATCACAAAAACACATGTTGATTGCAATTCTAAGTTCCCAAGCGAGGTTGTGCAACAAAAGGTTAAGAAATGAGGAAAATTTAAACATTGGCTTCTTTCAATTCATTGGGATTCATCTAATCAAAATAACAATATTCGTTTGGATTGGCAATGTCCAGATAAAACAAATGTGGTGCCACAATCATCCAACATACAAATTATTGACCCACCATAAGCATCCCCAATTCAATCTATGCCCTTCATTAGGAAGATTGCTAGCTTCAAAAAGAAAGAAAGAAAGATAATTGGATTAGTTTGTTTAAAAGTCAAATAATTCCGTTGCGATAGCTAGGACATGAAAAATGTGTCACTACAACATGTATTGGAAATTTCAAAGTTAAGTTCTTAAACTAGACAAGGTCACAAGGGGAAACAGCCACATGTGCCAAATTGCCGAATGCATTATTTTGCATAGAATATTTAGGCTCTCTCTCTCTCTCTCTCTGTGAATGTGTGTGCTAGCATGTAAAAGAACCCCATCAGTTCTCTTAACCGATTATGTTACAATTTTTTCCAACTCCTGATACAAACTGTATAGCAGTTTATCACCAGCAGACATATAGCCAGGTCTCAAAATCTAGATTCAGGTACAACTGTTACTCTTCATAATCTAGATATAAGCAGAGAGACATTTTAATCATCCAAAATGGTGGCATCATGTGCTTGCATGACCATCATTTCGACAAATTGCCTATAAACAGACAATCAGCAGGGCAAGCAGCCAACACTATAGAGAAAAATTACTTGAAATATGAAATCCTTTACTCACCAACCATGATGTCTCATTTTGATATGTTGGCATAATATCTAGGTTCTCTGGCCGAATAAATTGTTGAATCAAAACCATTTTTTCATGAAGTTGGTCATCAACTTTCACATCATCTGGAAGTGAAGCAAATACATGTGTAAATAACTTTGTCATGACATACTTCTCCAATCCCTGTAATGGAAAGAGCATACATGTGTCATACACCGTAATCTTACCAAACCAGCAAACATAAGGAATGAAATTATTTATACAAGCTGCTTGGAGATGTTCATAAAACAAAATTAAAGAATGAAAAAAGGTGCCATCTGAAAACGAAATAAATAAGTAGACAAGCAAAATTCATATTAGAACCTCCTTCATTCTAGTCTAAACAAGAGCCAGTCATATGTCAAAACAAGCACTTGAATTACTGATGTGTCCAACACAAAAGGCAACAAATACAGCTATTTTTCATGATTGTGTGCATTTGTCTATGATTTTAGAGTACTAATGACATACGTAGCTAGAAAAAGGGATGGAAAATGCATTAACATTTTGCCTAAGCCAGATATAAAAATAAATAAGCTCTATAAATCACCAAGACCGATCCTGTAGACCCACTTGTGANAAAAAGGGATGGAAAATGCATTAACATTTTGCCTAAGCCAGATATAAAAATAAATAAGCTCTATAAATCACCAAGACCGATCCTGTAGACCCACTTGTGAGATTACTCTTCAACACCCATCCCCCCCCCAAAAATAAAAAACTTAATTGGGATGAAAACTGCAAGCATATTTGGTATAATAAAGGAGTTCAATTGATTTCCACAATTATAGTTCACAATCCATAACTGCCAGTTTTTAACTTGGTTCGTGGAACCAGCCAAATTCCCTGCTTTTACAATTTGCATAAACCACTCTCCCTTATGTTGTGGCCTGAGTACATGAAAAAATAAATCTAGAAAAATTACATTCAAGAAATCAAGCAGCAAGAGGTTGACGTCAAAGCCTCTAGGGCCCCAACTAAGACAACATATTCCACACATGTCATCTGTCTAAGGGGCTGCATAATCTTTTTCAGATTCTTCTACCTATTTTCTTTCACACTATTCTTTAAGCAAATTAAATATTTTTCCATAAGCAAATTGCACTTACAACCTCAAACTGCAGATCAGATTTCACTGCTTACCCTTAACTTTAAAATGTGTTGAAAGAAAAAGCTGTAAGGTATTGGAAATTGGCATATCTTCTATAGAAGGAATCCATTTGAAATCAGCCAGTTTTCGTTCACCCAACGCGGGAAGCTAGGAGGGAAAGACTAAGAACATCAACTAATCTTCTTCATATTTGCTCGTAAGTAGTTGACCTTCTACTCGAAGTTCCGTTCATATGCATGTCAGCCCAAGTTCTAACTACTGACTATGTGATGGCACCTTAAGATTGAAAAATAAATAAGAAAAACCAAGAGATTGATATATTACCCCAGTACAAAGCAAAGATAAATGGTATCCTCTACACAAGACATCACCCATCTTCACACAAGAAATTACTGGGGTTTCACAGAGAAGTCACCAACTAATCTTCTGCATAATTGCTCGTAAGTAGCTGACCTTCTACTCCAAGTTGCGTTCATATTCATACCAGCCCAAGGTCTAACCCCTGGACTAAGCAATGACACCTTAAAACTGAAAAAATAAATAAAAAAAACCAAGAGGTTGACATCTTAACCCAGTACAGAGAAAAGATATATGGTGTCCTCTACACAAGACATCACCCATCTTCACATAAGAAATTACTAGGGTTTCACACAGAAGTCACTAGCGTAACTTCCACATGAGGGGGCAACACACAGCACAAGGCACATGCTGTGTTCAAATGAGTAGCTACCTCTTTGTGGTTTCTTGGTTCTTTTCTCTTTCACACTTTATTTAAAAGAATATCAACTTTAGCTTAATTCTTCTATTTTGTGGTTAATCTACAATTTCACACCCATAAATTGATGGTTACATTTTATTAATTACCCCAGAAATTTGAAATGAATCAGAAGAGTCCTTGAATTTGTTATGTCAAGTTCAGATTTGAGATGGCTTAACTTGGATAATGATAACCACCGCCAATTTCATAGATACGAAAACTGACAAATATACATGCATGCATACAACGCCACATTATAAAAACACCACCAGAGTATCTCGTCCTCACAACACCCTTACAAACTTTGCAGAATATAGCACCTACAATAATGCATGTTTGTGTGCGCGCACGCGCGTGTGACGCCCTTAAAACCGGGGGTCCTGTTGACCACCAGCAACNGTGTGTGTGTGCGCGCGCGCGTGTGTGACGCCCCTAAAACTGGGGTCCCGTTGACCACCAGCAACCCGCGGAAATATCCGTGATTGTCGCATAACCCGACATCACGNATGTTTGTGTGCGCGCACGCGCGTGTGACGCCCTTAAAACCGGGGGTCCTGTTGACCACCAGCAACCCGCGGAAATATCCGTGATTGTCGCATAACCCGACATCACGTCTATCACATCCCTGTAACCAGGATTACAACTCACACGAGAATCCATGTTTTTTCTTTTATCATTTAATCCCATCGAAGTTCAACATACCCCAATGTATCTCATTTAAGGTCCATTTGTGTCATTAGAACCAAAGAACACATATCCCAAGAGTGTGGCAAAACATTCTTAAAATTTCAGATTTTTGGAAAACCTNATTTTTCTTTTATCATTTAATCCCATCGAGGTTCAACATACCCCAATGTATCTCATTTAAGGTCCATTTGTGTCATTAGAACCAAAGAACACATATCCCAAGAGTGTGGCAAAACATTCTTAAAATTTCAGATTTTTGGAAAACCTTCCGAAAGGTTTTGTTATGGACCTTTCGAAAGGTTTGCTCACTGAAAAATTTCTACCAGAAGGTTTTATGGATCTTTCGGTAGGTTTTACCTACTAGACTAATTTCTACCGAAAGGTTTGCCCACTAGATGAAAGATTGCATGAACCTTCCGAAAAGTTTTGTGGACCTTCCGGTAGGTTTTGCCTACTGGACAAAAAATTTACACTAACCTTCCGGAAGNTCGAAAGGTTTGCTCACTGAAAAATTTCTACCGGAAGGTTTTATGGATCTTTCGGTAGGTTTTACCTACTAGACTAATTTCTACCGGAAGGTTTGCCCACTAGATGAAAGATTGCATGAACCTTCCGAAAAGTTTTGTGGACCTTCCGGTAGGTTTTGCCTACTGGACAAAAAATTTACACTAACCTTCCGGAAGATTGTTGTGACCTTCCGGAAGGTTTTGTCCAAAATTTCATGCCTCATCAAATTTTCATTTTCAATCATCCAAAACCTTTCCAAACTCATTCCAAACATGGATAATGACATTTTCTACATTATACAAGATCCATACAAGTTCTATTACATGCATTTGCATAATTTATACATGTTAAAACATTGTTCCANATTCCGGAAGGTTTTGTCCAAAATTTCATGCCTCATCAAATTTTCATTTTTAATTCATCCAAAACCTTTCCAAACTCATTCCAAACATGGATAATGACATTTTCTACATTATACAAGATCCATACAAGTTCTATTACATGCATTTGCATAATTTATACATGTTAAAACATTGTTCCAACAAAAATTATATAAAATATGCCACAAAAGCCACAAGTCGGCTTTTCTTTATCGTTGAGGCCCCGAATGTGAGTCTTCTCCCGGTACAAACTCCGCACCTGAAATGTTTCCCGTATAGGGTGAGCTAACGCCCAGTAAAATATTTCCTACAGAGGCTACTCCCCAACTTAAATGCATATGTAATGTTCATATACAACATNCAAAATATGCCACAAAAGCCACAAGTCGATTTTTCTTCATCGTTGAGGCCCCGAATGCGAGTCTTCTCCCGGTACAAACTCCGCACCTGAAATGTTTCCCGTATAGGGTGAGCTAACGCCCAGTAAAATATTTCCTACAGAGGCTACTCCCCAACTTAAATGCATATGTAATGTTCATATACAACATTCACAATCATATAATCATTCCAATCAAGAATATACATGATTCATGTTGGAATCTACCATGTCATGCCATGAATGAAATGAGATTCACTCACGCACATCAACCTGAGCCCTCACCGGCTCTCACCACACTATGCAATGCAAGTGTAAAACCTTTATTATTGATTAAATACATCCAATGATCATTTTNCACCGGCTCTCACCACAGTATGCAATGCAAGTGTAAAACCTTTATTATTGATTAAATACATCCAATGATCATTTTTGAAAAACCAACTATATGTTTATTAAACCATTTCATTCATGGATGTTTCCCATCAAATGAAAACTTTGTATTACAAAATCATGTGTCTTTGTTGGGTATCGGATTTTGGAATCACACCGCTGGCTCCGTACGCCATTACACTTTTTCGGAATTTCACCACAGGAGAGTGTATGAACCAAGTAGCCGGATTTTTCATCCGAAGGAGTGTCTAGCCCTTCTTGCTATATCCGACACAAGTTTTTCTCATGCCACATGCGACTCCATGAGATCTTCGATCCAACATCTCCGAGTCCACATATCAATCACCAAGAGTGATATTGATTAAATCATGCATACACACCTACACTCATTCCTAAATCCATAAATGTGATGTATTTTCCCCATGCAATATAATGAACTATTGCGTAATCAATGTCATACTCATATACAAAGAGTGTCGCATAAGCCATTTAACTACATATCTCACATATGTCACGGCAATTTCAATGAACGCATATAATTACCATAAATTGTCACAATGTTAATACATCAATTAGCACATATTAACATTCCCTTCCAACACATTTTATAAGCATGTTAACCACACACTTCATGTACAAGCACTATAAAACATATAGCATGCTCAAGATATCAAGTTTTAAGGGATTGCACAGGTACTTCCCCAATACCAAACTTTGCTAGGATTTGGTCTAAGCCAATTCCATACCTATTTCTTCTATTCCTTAACCATAGTCAAGTAACTTAGGTTATTCCGAACCCTTACCCCATTCATAATACACCCTAGGTAAGAAAATGAACCAAAGTAGGAGGAATCCTACCTCTTGGAGCGTAAAATGAAGACTAAAAGCTTCAAGACACCTCCCTAGCTCCAAAAAACTCTTGACTTCAAAAAA